TGCCGGCATTTCCACTAAAATTATTAATGATTTCTAAAGCATACCATTTGATATTAGATTAAATGGATATGCACAGAAGAGTATCGAACTTATCAACTTCAAGCAAGTACTTACTCAGCCCAGGTGATCTGCTCAGTCTCACTGGGCCCTGACTGTCCATAGATTATCAATAAACTTTGAACATGAATTTCTCCTCTGATCTTCTGACCCCCTCCCCTTTCCATCTTATACTACTTATTAATTTGTGCCTTAATTCATTTTCAAATTGTCCAACACACACTAGTCTTCTCACTCGAGGGTTGGTCTTTTGCATTGTTAGCCTTTGGGTGGTCATTGATTCCATTTGTCTGTTTCTTAAAAGGTCTCTACTTATGGACTTATTGCTATAACGAACTACTGTGTGACAGACATTCATGACTACTTTAACAAAAAGTAGTATCTTTTACTTTTGATAAAATGATCCGCATTAACTAATTTGACCATTTTTGCTCGGGTCATCTTTCTCTTGAAGAAATATCAAATTTTGATGGTTGAATCGTTTAAGAACAAACACAGATTACAACTCACCAAAGTTGGAAAGACTGGTGGTCAAACTTTCTACTCTGATTGCTTGTATAAGGGCGTTTAATATTACCTACCAAGGTATCATCTTCAAATTCTGATATCTTGAGTGATGAAACCCAATCTCAGAATACTTTCATTAATTGGTTCATATACCCGAAAGTGAGTAGAAATTACCACCATAATTTTCCATTTGGGACTGATTAGTTAAATAGACGAAGTCATTAACTTCATGAGTCAAGGTCACTCATTCCTAGGAAAATTTAAGAGGTATAACATATATTAGCACAATTCTCCAAATTATAGCAAGGTGTGAAGACACTGGTGGTTCGATAAAACATACACAAAGATGATCAATCCACTGGAAAACTTGGTTGCACAATCGAATGAGAGCTATAAGACATATGTGGAAAGAAGGTGGATATGAAATCTCATGAAAGCTCGTCACCCCGATTTTCCTTATGAAGTCTAAATTGATAAAAAGAAGGGTTAAGGTTTGCAGAAATTTCAAAGTGAAATAAAACAGTGGGGTTGGAGATTTAGGGGCTCAGATGATATAGGGCTCCCCAAACTCCATGGCATTTACCCCTACAACCTACATTATAATTCCACAATAAGTTGAACACATACTTCTTACTCTTGAACCTATACATTTTATGAATGCGGATGTTTACCGTTTGTTATAGCATTCTGAATTACCTAAAAACAACTTTCTAAGTTTCACTCGCCTTGAAATCTGATTTCGTTATCGGTAAATTGTAGTAAGAGTTTAATCTGTGGAGCCATAAAAAAATGAAATTACAAAAACATACTTCTGTGAATATTAAAAGAGAAAGTATGTTGTATTTCGGGGGATTTTGTATTCCTGAAATGGAATATGTGCAATTAAGCGGCGCTCACGTACGCGTTAAGTGGAGTGAATAGTCAGTATTCCGGTGTGTGGACTAAAGGACCTCCGGGAGTTGTGACGAGTTACAAATAAAAATTACTATTTACCAAAAAATTTTTGATGATAAACTTAAGAAGATTCATTACTAAATACGTTAAAATGTTGAATGTTATCCTTAAATTGACCAATGAGATTTGCCCACATGAAATTATAATAGGCTTAGCCAACGAGGCCACAAAGAGAAAGCAATAGCGTAGAATTGAACTAAACAAATATTGCCTTTATGAGTGATAAAGCAGAGGTATTGCATTTGATTCATGAAAGTAAATTTGCCCACCCTTAACACCTTAACTAGAAATGGCTAAGTAAACCATCTAATACTGGCTCATGCTAGCTCAAGAAATCGGTAAGGCTGCAGTATCCAAAATTTCGCCTCAAGGTGTGAATTAGAGAACGCTTTCCAGAGAGGACGAAAATGATGATCATCAGTACATACTCAGAAATGTGGGCTCCAGCACCACAGGTTGATTTTGATCGACGGTGTTGGTAGGATTTGAGTTTCACAGTAGAGCAATTCACGAATATCTCCCTTTCAATTAACATCTATTTGAGAATGAACAAACGCCTTTCACAGACTTGAAATCTAATGTCCTGAAGACATTGACCACTTAAGCATTTAAAATTATGGATCACATGATCTAAAATTTAACTTCAGTCAACAATCAATGTTACTTTCAAATAATTCAAAGAAAGTTGTAAAAAATCACAGAATAAATTATTTCCTGTACAAAATTTCGCATTTATGATCGGGTTTTATGATTTTTTCTAAGTAATTTCGTTTAATAAGTTCTTAATTAAAAGTTAATCGGAATGATTTCTAAATTACGAAGAAGAAGGAAATAGGTTTCGATATTTAATCTTTTAAGATATATGACAATAAATTGCTTTTTTGAAGTTGTAGATTTAGCTCAAACGAGACTTTTCTGAAATATTTTTAGAAAATCTTAATATGGTTTTAATAATTTAAATCATGAGTTATCAAGGCTCTAAATATGCACTGGCTTATGATTATGAGAAAAAATAATAATTCCTATTAGATTTCTTTGTATATCTTTTTATTCAGTTGTATTTATTGATCACAGTAGATAATCGAATGAGGAAAATTGTTGACGGATTAATGTGAAATTTAAGATTGATTGAAAGGAAACTCGAAAATCTAATAAGCCAGCCCCTTTTACTTTTTATTCAAAAATAGAAATCACATTTTTCTTCTTAATGGGGTATAATTATATGATCAAGCTCTAAATGCCAACACTGAATATTCCAAAATTTATTTTGCCATGAATATATTTATTGGAAAGATTGTAATGCTATAATGGACTTATTTAAATTCATAATTTTATTAGTATTCACCTGAGATTATGACCTACTTTTAGCATTCTCATAAAAATCTCTAAAATCCTGATAAATGAATATGTATAACTTACATGTAACTTAAATATATTTTGGATAGCATAATTCAAATTATCCTGTACCAATTATATGAAAATGTAGTGCTAAAGGAAATTAGTGAAATAAACAATAACAAATTACGGTAATACGCAATTTAAACACTGTTTCAAATAACTATTGATAGTGCTCGGAAAGCTTTCCAATTTTTTAAAATGATCAATTTTTTCCGTTTTAAGATAAAAAACAGCTCATTTCTAATATTGAAGGTGTATTGTCAATGGAGAAATGGTAACTTTCTGCATAAGGATTTTGAAAGGAATATGGCAAATATTTAAGATAAGTTAAAATAATTTAAGTACTTATTGTAAAAAATCTGAGTTTTTTTAAATCTTCGGCTTTTTCTATTTAATTTGCTATATAGTTAAATTCTTAAAGTAAGGCCTTTATATAATTGTCAAATTTGATTTAAACCAGCTTGCTTATGTTCAGACTAATAGGCAATAGCTATCTACAGACTTCAACAGTCTCAAATTAAGCAAAAACTAGGAGTATAATTCGAAGTTTGTCTTGTAACAACAGTTAAAAAAAGAAAGAGTAGGGGATAATTGAGAAAGATTGGAATCCAGAGAAGAGAGTACTGTACTAGTTAGCAAATGGCCAGTGTGTTGGCATGAGTACATTTAAATAAAGGCAGCTACTTGAACACGAATGCGAGTGACGGAGCAGGTATATTGATAAATGAAAATGGGATCGATGATAGTTTGTAGTTTGTGTCACAGGTGCATAGAGGCGAAAGATAAGCTTATTTACGTATGGAATGTAAATAAAGTCTTCCTTACTCATTTGAATGGCACATGTATTTAGTCTCCGATTTTGCACTTCTGCTCCTTGAACCCCGGTGATTTAACTTAAAATAAAATGAGGTCATATGTGTGTAATGGGCGCGTACCTTAAATATGCACTAAACTAGTTATAAGTAACATCAAGGTAAGCGCAAATTCAGCGAGATCGGGCTCCTTTTATTAAATTCGGAAAATTTTACTGTACACCTGCCACCTATAATGACTTAATATTTTCTACAACAGTAATTCTGATATACAAAACATCTTATTTATACATATTAATTTACATTCTCTTAATCATTTTGCACCAATGAATAACTTTACGTAAAATTTTAAATGATGCCTAATGGAGATCTTGCAAACTTTGAAATAAAACGCATTCTGTTCTGATATTGTGGGATTTCCGGATTTTATTTCTAACTTGTACCATTTCCTAAGGCATCTTAGAATTAATTTCGGTAACCAGCAGAAGAGAGCTGATCGTTATACTACCGATTGGGTGAAAACATAAGGGAGAAAATCGATTAATGATCTCCAAGTCACGTAGGTTTTCTCATTAAATTGAATCAATTAACATGGAAAAGTGATAAAAAGTGTGAAAATGCACACCTAAAAATATTCTGTAATTTTAGAAAGAGTTTAAATATTGGAGTTCCGCTAAGATTTCATCATAGCCAGTAAATAAAGTCAAAATTCAGTTAAACCATTAATCAACTGAACCCTGTAGTGATAAAAATGCTTTATTCATCTCTATATCAAATTTTTGAAACAGAAGATTTATTGCCTTTCCTGAGTGATTAATATAAGGAGCAATATTTGCTAAAATTGTTAAGCATTACAGCCAGAAGCTAGTAATGCGTTATTATTTTAATGATATGGACGCATTGCTTTTTCGAGCATGGTGAACCTTTTTGTCAAACGATTTTACTCAAAAAGAAGCTCACATAACAGTGAGTGGAGTGTCGATTTAAAATAACATTTTCTCTATAACCTTACTAGTAAAAAATAATCACACAGTTTCAAAAAAATTAATTTTACCTGTTTTAATGTCCAATTTTTATACTATATTCCCTAAACTATTTGAACTTATTAACTGGAATGAAGCGTTAACGATTTAATTAAAATTCATTTAATATTTTTAACCTCTTGAAATCAATTTAAATTTAGTTATTCTATATTGTTTTCACTTTATTACAACTTGCAATCTTAATATAAATAAATGACCTTGGCTGCATACAAATGTGCTCATTATGACGATGAATTCATCGTTTGAGGATTTCGGTGATGCCGTATCAGCCAATTTCGAAGATATTGACTTCGATACATTTACAAATTTTATAGCTGATGTAGACTTAGATTTCATACTAACAAGCTGTGAGGCTCAATCACCAAACGCTCAACACAGTGATGAAAATTCTTCCCGGAAAAACAGCACTTTAGCAAGCCTTCTTAGACCACAGCCATCGACAGCTTTTGTTCCTCCAGCTCCACAAATTTCCATTGGGAATAACAGTGTTATTGAAAATGGAAACGATAAGCCCATATCTTTGAATGGTATTGTAAACGACAAACACCCTCAGTTGAAAAATGCTTTGATTCAAGAAAAATCTCTGCATCAACCACCACATCCTGTTGTGGTTGATAATATGAATTCAGCATTTTACTCCTGTGTTTCTCAGAATGCGTCTTACAATGGTCTATCGTCAGTCTCAGTTTGTTCTTCAAATGGCTATCCAAGTGATGTCTGTAAACTTACACCAAGTAATTGCGTTCCATCAGGTAGGCTAGTCATTAATTAAAGATATTTTCTTTCTTTATGTAATGGATTTTAATCAATGATTATGTTGTATCTAATATTTCCTAGTTCATGACGATGACAGTAAATCTAATCGACGTTCACCACACAATGCTATCGAGAAACGATATCGCCAAAGTATCAATGGCAAAATCAATGAACTTCGGGAGCTTTTGAACGCGAGTTCTGGGGATGATGCAAAAGTATTCATAACTTTTGTTAGAAACCGTGTTTCTTAGGTTTTATATTATAGAACAGTCATGTTAGTATTTTCTGTTTTTCTTCAGAGTTACTAGTTTGTAGATATTCTTCTTGTAAAAGAGTAAACCTACAGGAAATCCTTGATTATAGTTTGCTATATTGATTTGCCCTCTTTTAAGTCAACATTTTTAACCACTTCCATTATTAGACAATTTTATTTTAGTTGAAATGATGTGTATTATTGGCATAGTTTTATTTTGATTTTATCCCCAATTTCATAGTAACCTTTAAGCTTTGCCTTATTGAAATAATTCCCGTAATCTGACTTTCTTCATTCTCAATAGAGCAACAAATCTGCCGTTTTGCGTCGAGCCATTGATCGTATACGTTACCTGGAAAAGGAAAATGAATGTCTTAAAATTCGACTCCAACTGTATGAAAATGGTTACGCAATTACTAACAGTAAGTTTCTGCTTATTAAATTTCACTTTGTGCCACATCCTTTTGTCTAACTTCATGAGTTTTTATACAATTGAACGATCGGGCTCTATAACCAATCCTTGAAATTTTATTGTGGTAGACGTTTTGATAGTTATCATTGACCATTTAGCTGACTTCGGACTTTACAGAGGGGAGGAACATCAAAGTGAGAAAAATTGAGAGGAGGAGCAGAAGAGTGTTTCAAAGATGTAGAAGAGACAGACACAAAGGTTGAAAAAAGGTGAGGTGAGTACTGTGGAGGTGGTGGATTATGACATGCAGTGGGGTCCTGATAGTTTGAAGTCAGAGGTCAACTGGGGATTTATAGACTTTTCGGCCGTATGAGTACACATTTCCCATGGTGCACCATGTGGTGGTAAGTCTATCACACACCCCCTTGAAATTAGTATTTCATTGACTTATACTATTGGGAGAAAGTAAATGTTTCTTTTGTTGCTTTTAATTATTTATTTTATTCAATCATCTTACATTTTCCGCTGATTCGTATTCAAAATAAACATTGCCTTGCTCTAGATAAAGTTTAATTTTGACGTTTGTCTAGAGGTTATCCGTTCTCTTTATTTCAGCATTACCTCCGATGCGCAAGTCTTCATTAGTTAACTCTGTTAGTAAATAATTTTATACTTATTATTATGCTAAGCTGTTAAAGCCTATTGAGCAATATTTTGGCAAAACAACTGTTGAATGGGTTGAGGTATAGTGTATTGCCTGTTTTTTTGCCGGTTAATTGATATTTCTGTGTAATATTTTGATATGATATTCTAATGATTATTTGCTGATTGGCTGATTCTGTTTAGTTGCTGCTCTGTTTGTAGTACTTATAATTCTAGTGTTCCTATTATTTAATATTCTAGTAATATTTTGCCGTCGTGATATCCAGGTACTCCGATATTCATTCAATTTATCAGATTTTACAAGTTGAATATTTCTATGATGTTGACTCTTTATTTGAAAAAAGCACAAATTTTAATTCTTTCTCATCATAAGAAAACCTAATACAATCTCTGCTGTGTTATATGGTATTTGGAAAGTAGGCTGATGGGCTTGGGACTGTGCATCTTACATATATATATATTCGAATCTTTTTATAATTACCGAGTCTTTTATCCTCCTAGTGTGGGATAGCTTCCATCTGTCATGCACTTGGTTACGTTTGTTGGCCCGTCATCAATTGTCTCTGCTAACCAGCACCCTTATTTCGTTGGTATTTCATTTTAGTTATTTAGTATTTGTCTTGAATGAAATTTTAATCTCTTGTCATCCTGTTACCATTACGCCCAGCTACAGATGTACTCATTCATCGCCATTGTGGTAAACAGTAATAGATAATTAGTGAAAGTCGAGGAGATTTTCCTACAGATATGAGAGAAGCTTATCTTAAAATAGAATTTGTATTTCTGAACATTCTGTTGTTTAGGTCTTTCAGTAATCTTTTTGCTTTTCTGCTAATACTTGAATGCTTTTTTTGCTTGCCAATAGTTTAAAGGGATTTTCTTATATTTGGTCATATGATTACTGATTTCATTGTGAAGAAGCAAAACTCTCAAAGGCACTTTTACCGTAGGAAAAAGCAAAGCAAATTTGGGCTATGGTTCACTTGAGCTTCCTATAACACATATTTCGCTAATCACTTATCAAAAGAAAACATACGTCTTTACTTGCTAGCTGAAAGCTTTAAATCTGACGGCGGTCAAAGAACTGTCAACTTTCTGCGTCTACCAAGTCCACGTCCGTAAATACTACTTCGCTTTCCCAGACAACTAGGGTCAGAGTGTATTGACTTAATTAATAGAGCCTTGAGTTTTACATTAATTTCATGTTTAAATGCCTCGCTATTCACTGCGTTAATTCGTTTGAAGTTTGAAAAAATTTGGCATCTGAAATTGATCAACTTTACGGAATGGATGATTGCACCACTCCCATCTCTAGTGGATCATTTAATTGGTATAAACTGAGATTTACAAATAGCATCTCGTTTACTGCATATTTTTCTCGTGGTAGTACCACGGGGTAAGGGTTCAAACAAGAACCTCTTAACCAGGTCTGCTCGGTACCAAAAAGCGATATCGTTTCACTATCTGGCCATCTGCTATGGTGTCCGCGTCAAGTATCTCTTCTACAAGCTCGTCCACAGATTTCTCGGCTTTCAAATTGTAAGATGCTATTGGGGTTGTATGCAATTTCGACTAAGTGAAAATGCTACTACTATTGCAATCATATTGATGAAGGCTCTTCTAAACTGTTGAATTAATAGAAAGTGACGAAATTTCTCGGCTCATTTCCATCCAATAAAAATGGTCCTTCTTTGAATAATAGTTTGTTGTTTGACCTGAGCTGTAAGGGATAAGAGACCGGAATGGCAGTTTGATAATGGTTTTATTGGGTGGTTTACTTTCAACGTCTTACTTCAGCAAGTGCGACAACAATACAAAACACAGACTGAGCTAACCTATTGAAGAAGATTTAAAGGCTATTTCTAATGCCATAACTCCCTACTTCAGCTATGCTATGCATTGACTTCAATTAGTGGACGTTAATCTGTTGTTAATCGTCTTTCTATGCAATTCTAAGTGTCGTTCGCCTGCCAACTGGAACGTTGGAGTAGGCATTTCAAATAACTCAAAAACTTATCGTCAATCGCACCGATTCAGAGTTCGTGTTGGTATATACGAATATTACTTCACATTTTCTATGTCCTCCCATCGCAATTTTACTTCAGTTGATCAATACTAGCATGAAGTTGGACTCATCAGTTAAAGTTAGTATAAATATTGAGTTTCACGCATTCTGAAACTTGTTGTGCCTAGGATTGTTTCAACACGGCTTCTCTCCTGCCCATCGTGTCCCAGCAGCAACTAGTCCTGATATCTCGACTACTTAAACATCGAACAGACATAATACGCCACCTTAAGGGTTTGATAAAAGGTTGTATTTTTTACCTCTTCCGAGGTAAAGTCTAAAATTTATTGTTCTGTGTGCCTGCATTCGAACTAAACCAAAGCTTCTTTTTCTGCCCAAATTGACTTGCACCTAAAAATGGTAAATCAAGCAACCTGTGGAAGTCATTCATTGCTAAAACTGCTTTTTCTGCAAGTGGAAAGTACTAAAAATAATTGCATATAGGCTGCACTTCCTTATTATTGGGATCTAATGGGTGCTCACATTCAAAATTTGTTATTACACGTTGATTCTAGTATTGTTGGACTTATCCAAGTAGCCTCCTATCTGATTTCCTTCGTTCCCTTTTCAAAGAGGCCTGAGGTGCTATAATCTTTCTGCCTGGCACTTTCTGTATCGTAATTTAATAACCCCTATACGGTGCTCATCAATCATCGCTTGACAAAAGTTATTGTGTCCAGAAATGTTACCCGTTTGTCTTCTGCTCGATCGGAGAACTTTTGTCATTGTCTAAGTATTGTCTTTTCTTGCCCTCCGTCCGATCTCAATAGTCAGGAAGAGCAACTCGTTCATACCATGGGAAGGCAACTTCTTGTATCATGATAGGCTTTTAACAAATCAAGATCTACAATTGTATACAGTATCTATGGAACAGAAAAGGGATCCAACAGAGACTTATCTGGACATACGTTACCTATTTCCCACTTGGAAGCCGGAACTTCAGGCACTAAGCACAATTCTCGACTCGACCGTTGCTCTGAACTTTTCAGAAAATCCCTAAAAAAACATTCAAGGGGTATCTAACACTCAAACGAATATGTAGACTTTTTTCGCTGGCAAAATTTAATTAACTTTTGTTAGCATATTTGTTTGAATGCGCTGATTTTTTAAAATTTCCTTCCCATATTATTGTTGTATCATTCCCCCCCTTCCAATATTCATTATTTTCTTGCAAGATTAAGAAGTCCACACAGGTTCCTTTTTACCACTTTAATGATTAGTTAATGTGCTTTCGCATTTTTTAGCCGAAGAAGATAATGATGGTATTGGAGTAAAGACTAAAAGAAATCGACTGGTCTGCACGAAGACCGATCCATCTACACCGCCTCATTCTCAACCCCTAACTAATGGCGCTTTTACCCATCACAACCACCATCAACAACCGCACCATCAGTCCATAAGCAGCACTCAGCCTCCTGGTATTTTACAGAAACCCCAGCCACCGACATGGAATGGGCAAATGGCGCGTTTGGGTTCTTCAGAGGGTTCTGGTTCTCCACCCTCCATCAATGTACCTTCGTTGCTCTCGTCCAACTCTGATGATATCTCTGCCATCTCCTCACCAGAGTCCTATCAATACGTTCAAGTCAACAGAAAACGCAGCGGTCAGTTGGTGTATCTTAGCACACTTACTGTTATCGTTTTTATTGCAGCAAATGAGCGCCTTAATCTTGTGGGGAAAATTAAGGCAATATGCAGAAAGTAGAGTATCTTTATGTCTTCAGTGGTGGTTGCCTCGGTTCCCCTCGTCCTTACAACAGAGCCTTCTCTTATTGTCCTCCTTCAGCTCGAAAGCCTCTTTAAGATGCCCGTTTTTAAGATTTTTTATATATTTTTTATCAACTACATGGAATAATAACCTACGCATGTATGTCCCCTTAGCGATAATTACAAGGGTATCTCTATTAGTGGAGGAACGGGGCAATTTCATTGTTAAAAATAGCGATTGAACCTGTGTTAATCTGATTTTTTGTCATGTTTTTTCCAGTTGTATTACTTGCGTTATAGCCCACCTATGCATATAGTAACCTAAAATCACTTTATGGTACCTCCACCCAATTACATTTCTCTTTGTTACACTTAGCTGATAGCCAACTATTCCAGCACCTTTGTCCACCTGGCGCGAAAATGTGCACATTCTACGCTCTGGATAATGAAACTGCTGCCAACGACAACAATTTCATTCACCCGGTAACCAATGGCAGTTGTTATGACGGTCATGTGTCTCAGTACACACCACCTGATGTTAAGTACTGTGGCAACGGGATAGGTTCGTCCTACGGCTATCATTCACATACTCCACTCACTTCTCGTGCTGAAAGCAATTTCACTCGTTTGAGCCTTTTCTGGGGGTCTTTCTCTCTTCTCATGTTCAATCCGTTCATCATCCCATCTGGAGATACAAATGGAACTGCGGGTGCTAAAGGTAACTCCTCCCCCCCCCCCCCCCCCCCCCCCTCCTAAAATGACTCAAGAGGTGGATCGGTTAACTCTAAATTACATCATTTTCCCTTTTAACTAGCGACAGGAATGCCTATTCGACGATTACTCTCAGCTCTGTCTTTCTCTGATGACAGTATCAGTGCAAATGGGGATGGAATTGGATTAGCTCTTAGCCCAATGTTCCTTTCATTTATGTATCTGGCTCAATGGATTGTGGCCATTATGCTTCTGTTCTTCGCTTGTCCACGCCAATTTGGATTCGGTTTTGTATCTAGAAGAAGTGCTAGTAGACGTGCTCAAGTGCCTGTTGATCAGTTACCGGGTGGAAAAATTGCTCTGGTGCATTGGAAGTTGTCTGAAGAATTCTTGACATCGGTAAGGAGTTGATTGGATTGGATGGTTGCGGTATTGCCAAATGAGTTTCATATGACGGGAAGCTGAATTAAAATATTATTTGGCATGTGAGGTCTCTAAACCGGGTGCTCCCGATAAAAATAGTAATTGCACCATTTATGAGACTCTATGGTGGGAATTTAACGATCTTGATCACTTCGCTGCCGAATAATGTTCCTGAAAAGTAACTTCTCAAAATATAGCTCCTTATTCTAGTTACCTTTTACCTTCCTAATATGTCGTTATAAATTATTGTAAACATGTTATAATTTGCTAAACAGTATTGAGATGATCAAGAGCTAAGCAGAACGCCAGTAATTGCGATAAAACAGGAACGCATTGAAGTCCTGAAGGATTGGTGATAAACAATTTTTAATGACTTGGTCAATTCTTAAAAGACAAATAGGCACGTAAGCCCATGCATGTCGTTATGATGGGAAATCTACTTAGGCAAGGTTGCATCAATTTATGAACATCATGTGTTTGAATTAAGAAGGTCAATTATTGAATAATTCAATGCGGGTTAGTTAGCTTTAAGCATAAATTATTTCTAGTTCTATATTCAGTAATCATGATCCCTTAGGCATTTAATAAATCGATGTTTATTATGACTTCTTTCCCAATTAATTGGTGAAGTAAACAGAAGAAGCAATAACTGTTAAAGGGGGGGGGGTTGTGATTAAAAAGGAGCTGAGATCAATATCAAGGGATCTTATAGCATTCACTTGGGTTGTACTCGATTTACTAAATAGCCCAATCACTTTCCAAAATTCAAGTTTCACAATTTGTGACACCTTGGTGATTTAACGTGGCAGAGATGAGTGAACAGTCAATAAATTGTCAATTATAAAAGCAACATCTATTTTTGCCCCCATTCCCCCCCCCCCCCCACCTTGCAAGTGAAGTATGATGCAAAATCTTAACACTGACACTGATGTCAATCATGCTCTAGTTGTATGATCTATTAAGAATCCAAATCGATGGAAAATTCCACACGTAGCGTGTGCACAATTGCACCTTACTTTCACGATTATCTGTTAAAGGAGTAAGAAGTGGTCTTCATCTCCTCTTACCTCTCAAACATATTTTTTTCTGGTATCTTGCTCCATAAATGAAATTTATCTACTTAGTTGCATGAGTTGTATACTCTCTTTAAAGTTCTTTATTTGTTTTACCCATTTTCTGCTAAGGAAGTTATTTACTCCGTGGTTCTTTAACCATTGCAAAATTCTCAACATTTCTCTCTTTGTTGTTTTTTCTTTTCCTCAGGGCGATTGGAATAAAGCAGGAAGTCACTTAAAGAATGCCCTAGCAACATTGAGTGTATCACCGTGTTTTGAGGGGGGCACAATGTCCATGTTTTGGGCTCGATTGAGTGCTTACGCCAAGGGGCTGCGTTTCATTCTCTACCACCTACCTCTGCTGATTTGGTTCTTCTTGCGCGGTGCCCCCGCCTCAAAGGAGTCCTCGAAGAGAGGCCTTGCACAGGAAGCGGATGCTACCATCACTATAGCAAAAATTAGAAGACGACTTCTTGAACTCAAATTTCTTCGTGAGTTTATTTTGAGCGAGAGAGAGAGAGAGAGAGAGAACATGTGTTTTGTCATCCGATAGTGGTGCGCAATGCTCATGCCTACTTGCGTGGGTGGCTATAATTAGTGAGAAAATATGCTTTCAAATCGCCTAATATGCAGGCAAAAGTGGTGCTGATTATGCGCTTATGAAGAGGCATTTGTCTCTCCTTAATTTGTGACGATAAGTAAGTAGTGAATAGTGAGTACTCTTCTGAGAAACCCGTTTCTTTTTCCCCAACTCACTCAAGGGCTATCTTTCTAATGAATTATTTCCATTTGACCACCAATTTCGATTACCATTATTAGCCAACAAAATCGATCATTTATGGTTGAATACCGGCAATTATTGAAACCAGCGTCGCTCAGGACAGTTAACTAAATTATTCGAGAGGACTAATGTTAAATTTGCTTTTTATAAAAATGAACGGTGTTCACCTTCATTTGATATTGGTGTAATCACGCTGAGATTGAATCCCTCACTTCTAACGTCGTAGACTAGCACGTTGATCGTTTCTAAACAGAGATTGATCACTGCAGTTTCAACACTCGTATTGCAGAAAGTAAAAATACTTCTTTCTCATCTAAAACTTCGCAGTTTTTTCACCATTCCAATCAGTCAAAAAAAAATGGATTCACCACAAATGCCACCAATCTATATGCTAACTTGAGTATTTAGTAACATTGAAGTCTGGGAAAGTTATGCACATTTGTTATAGACTTAACTGCGGTTAGACTGTGTGCGTGCCAAAAGTATCTGGTTTGTTAACCAGATGCTTCTATTTGACCCCCAATAATGTGTAACACGTGACCTGATCTACTAGGATCAATGAAAGTGGTCTCCGTCACGCCTTTAGCTGTCACTCCCTGTGTGACTTTCTGCAAATGCTTCTCAAATGCAATGAAAAAGGGCCTATTTCAACTGTAATGTTGAGCGGTTGGTGGGGCAGGGGAGGGGGGGTTTGGGTATTCTTTAGCCTTCTTTATTACGAAGCTAATACTCTACCACCCTCCCCCCCCATTTTGATTGTAACTAGTGTGAGGTCACATAATGCGCATTACTGGGTCTCTGACTAGAATATGTTAAGGTAACGTGCGTTTCGCCAAGTTATTTAATCTCAAGTGATTAAAGAGAGAATGCGTGTCCCATATACTCTTCTTTCTTTTCCAGCATACTTGAGGCTACAAATATTCACTATTGACTTGTCATTAAATTAAACCTTGGGAATATTCGAGGAATCAATAAAGAACTCCGGGTTAATGGAAATTCTCTCCTAGCTTGAGTGTAAACACATGTGATTTGCTGTATTTACTGGAATTACTACTACTCGGTCTTTAACCCATGTTCTCTATTGAGAATGAATCTGCTGTGCCACTGGCATTTGCTCTCTATATGCCTACTTTCTTCTCCACAGACCTGGTGCATTTGTCTGATGACGATCCGGTTCCACCTTCTTGTACTGTTGTTGGCGATATGCCCACACACGAGTGTCTTCAAGTTGTCCATCTAATGTTCGACTGTCTGGGAGATTTCTGCAGAGATTGGCGCCTTCTACGTTCTGGCAAACCGGTCGATGCCACTGAACTTATCCTCTTCGGATTCACTCTCTCACTAACTGTCAAACGATTTTTTGGCGTTAATTCCCTCGGTGTAAGTCCTTTTGCTAAATACAGAACTGGGTTGATAGCGGTAACCTTATTTTGGACATTTTTGAGGAGAGCCTTATTTGGTCCTACATTTGTGACTTGCCCCCACCCCCCTTTAAGTTTCTTCACACCAGGTAAGCCAAAAGGTCGTTAGGAATTCTCTTTTGTAGCGTGTTTCGAGACAATTAGGGTATATTACCCATTATTTACTAACTAACTAACTACTACCAACTTCATTTCAGGTTTAATGATGTCTCATTTGTGTGCATATGGGGAAGATGTCCTCTAGACATTTGCACAAAGCCCAGCTTCTCCTATCATCCCCTCTTGCTGTCTACAATTTATTGCAATCTTGTTTTCTAATGTCATTTTTTGGTATGAGTGAAAGTGTTCCTACTTTTTTTTGCTGGAATGTTTGCATTTAGTCTTTCCTTTGTTAGTCAGTATTAAAGCGATTAGCTAATTCATTCACTGGATATACACAGGTGGGTTCTGTTTCCACGAGCCCCTGTGATAGGACTAGTGTAACTACTCGCGTGGTTCTTTATTAATCCATCCTTGTCAGCATTTTCTCGTGTTTTGACTTTACTTCCTCTGCTTCTCCGCTTATAACGTACCCTCTCAGGCGCAACCATTATTAGCTTTGGCGAAGATTCCTCCAACAGTATTTAAGCTGCAATTTCTACAATATCCCTGTTGCGGTAGAACATATCTATAACTCATTCACCTTGTCTGCTTGTCTGAAGAGGGCATTTCACGTCCTCCTCTACTTTTTAGAATATGCTTCTGCGTGCGACACAAACCCTGGCAAAGCAGATGGATGAAAAGTCTATTCTGGACCTGGGTGCCAATAATGAACTTGCAATGAGTATTTTGCTGGCACCACCTTCCAATGACTTTTGTCAGAAACGTCGCTTGGCTCAAATGGACACCTACTCGGGTATTCTTTGCACTGGTGGGGAAGCTCCACCAACCTCTCTCCTGATCCTCGAAGTCTACCAGGATATTTGTGAAACACTTGCGAGGAAAACTATCAAGGTAACTATATTAGCTTTGTATTTCACGTTTTCGTTAATTTTTCTTTTCGAGATGTCTGTTTCGCTTCACCTTTGAGTGTGCTTTGTTGTGTATTTTCACAGCAGCAGCAGCAGCAGCAATAACAACAACAATTGTGTCTTTCGTTCCAAAATTATGCTATATATATTTGAACAACTCGGTGATACCATGCTTCCTATTTGGGCATTTATTTATTTATTTCGAACGCCAGGCGTTTTGATAGCTATTATTAGCCCTTTAGTGGACTTTGGGATTCACACACAGAGGGGAGAAACATTAGAATGAGAAAAATTCAAGAGGGGAAACAGAAAAGTGATTCAAGGACGTAAAAGAGACATACAGACAGACAGACACGAAGGCAGAGAAAAGGTAAGATGAGTACTGTGGAGGTGGCGGAATATGACATACAGTGCGGTCTTGGTAGTTTGAAGTCAGAAGTCAACTGGGGGTTTATAAACTTTTCTGCCGTATGAGTATACGTTGCCCATGGTGCACCACGTGGTGGTAAGTCTATCGCACATCCCTCCTATTTGGGCATTGTGATACTTAGTTTGCGCAATTTTTATGTTCCCCAACAATGACCGGATGATCTTTGGTGTGTTACCATTATTTGTGTAGTTTCTTTTCAATTGTAAACTATTCGAAGGTCGTTGTATTTGGTCAGTTTTGGGAGTTATTCTAAGCTTCCCATTACTTTTTTTCAAAGAGTGGAATTCGCTCTTATTTGAGTGAGAGCGTATGAGTGCATTCAAAGAGTGGAAGGTTTATTTGATGGAATCCTGAACTTTTAAGAAATTGGTTTTTAAATAAAATGAAGTAGTTTAGTCTTCTTCTTTCGAGTCAAATCTGAAGCGCTTCTTCAATGCATTTGGAGAAACGCATAGCTAACACTATTGTGTAGATTTTCATTTAGTTGTTTTTCGTTTTGTAAATTAGCTTTAACAACAACTGACAACCTTTTACTCTAAAAGTGCATGCTTTCTTCAAGTATGATCAATTTTGCTTGAGGTGAGAACTCTTGCTTTCGTCGCTAAACTCGATGTTTTACCAAATTGTGTTGCATTGAACTAGTGCCTTGCACCTTTTCGCGTCTTTCAAAGCTTCTAAATATTCTGATATTTGGTGCTACTACTCTTGTGTAGTCAGGATCACCAAGTTCGTGGAAGTTTTCATCTTCAAAACTAGTTGTTTTCGCTCCAATTGGAGTTTCATTGGATTCTTCCCGATTCTGACATTTTATGAATAATATTATCTTACCCAAATTTTGTACGAAGGATTTGAATTGGTCTGGTCTCTAATTTTTCTTCCTAAACAATGGTTTCTCTTTTTTCTCAGGCCCTATCCTACTCTCTCCACACTTAGTTTAGTTTCTAACTAAATTGGAACTTTTGCCAATTAAATTCCTCTAGGCAAACGTGTTTTAGTCTCATTGTCATCCCAACGAATTTGCTGAGCACTTACGAATAAATTTTAACTATATGAAGGGTGGTATAAATTTCTAAAGGATGAATACCAAAGAATAGCACATATTCCTACGTAAACTACTATCTTCTCTTTTTACTTGCTTACCATAAACTGGGAAATCCTATTCATATTTATCGTGAGATTGCCTGAAAGAGGAAAGACGAGGTTTGTGTTTCCTACTTTATCTCAATTCAACTTTGTAAAGCAATATTCTTTTGTCTTCTTGTTCCGCTTTATTTTTTCCATCTTCTTTGTTTAATTCTAGTGCGTCGTCTCGGCAGATCTTGATTCGGCCTCATCATTTAAATCCTACGTTGAGACCATTAAGCGAATGACAACACGCCTCTATGTGGAGCAGAAGAGATGTGTTGACAACACCTCAGACGATGGCTCAGTTGACTCAACTTCAACTCTCGCCGGTGAGTTTAATTTCTGCTCCAAATCGCTCCCACCGAAATCGATAGTTGCATATTCGTGCGCTAACCCCCCCCCCCTCCCCTCCCCCAGTTCTGGTTTAAGGGAGTGTCTAAAAGTGATTTGGTCGTTGGTCGTCCGCATCACTTGATGCGAACCGATGAGAGTCGATTTTATAGGATCTAACTTTGTTGGCTACACTGGTGATATAAGACAATTAAGGGAGTGTTGATTGCAGATTACTCAACCTTAGAGTCTCTAAGTCGAATTCCACAAATCACTTTCTTTCAGTGGGCTTGTAAATTAACATTTTAATATGCTGGAAGCCAGTTCCCTGTTTTGCTCTATGGTTGCATTGACCCACTGACTTTACGCCATTGGCTTGGCAACGAAACGCTCACCAGTTCAAAAAGGCCTGAATTTATTTCTCTTGTATGCACTCTAAGGTTACTTTGTTAAGGTGTTAGCCTTGTGGTTGGAATTCGAACTTCTATTTATGGGGAAATTTAATTGTGAAAGAGTGATCATGTTGCCAAGTCACTTAGTGGCCTTATTATCCAACTAAGATTAAAATACCCTGAACTAAATTTGATAGTCTACAGTAGGTGCCTTAGAGAAGGTTTGTAATATATAGCCAAGGTGTTATCTTCTAAGTGATGAGAGGAACGATATTCTTAATTGGTTCGTTTTGCAAGATCCTCCAGTAATTTCTTGGTCCATTTGATCAAAAAGCTCAGTTGCAATAGGTCGCATTAAGAATAAATGTTGGACATGTGGATGTATGGCTTTAGGGAGGAATATGTGCTTGATATCACATTTGTTCATCTATTTGAACTAGTAAAGAATTTGAGATTTCGGGAATAAAATTATTTCCAATGAGGTAGTTGGTCAGTAATTGCAATAGTGACAAGATTTCATTCCCGAATGCGGGAGTGGGGAATCGATGCCCTTGAATTAAAGCCTGTGAACTTCGTTCATTTCTACCAAGAATGACCGACTTTATACATCTGGAAGATACGACTAGACTGTCCATGAAAAATGATTGTTGTGTATACACTTGTCATTTTCGGGTGCTATTCCATTTGTCTGTATTACACTGTGGTCGTATGCTGATTTGACTTTCGAGTTGTATTCTATTGTTTATTTTAGAAGAAGACGATGATGATTCCCTTGTGGAGGTTAGAAGGTGCAACATTTCTAACTGCTTGGACTTCCTTAATTTGTATGAAAAATGGTATACTGGTGCTCTGGACTTTGAGAATTTTGATCCCCAAGATTACTTCAAGGTGAATCCCTCAAAGATGGATCTCAATGATCGTTTCGTCTACATGGCCTTCTGGTAAATATTAAGGTCCCCCCACATCACAGGCTATAATTATTGATGAATTTTAAGTACCTTCTTCTTTTCTAGCCTTTTGCATCAAACCCATTTAAGCAAATTCAAGTCGTCCGATACCACGCCTCAGGAATTGGAGAAATCGATCATCGGCGCTTGGGAGACTCTGAACGAAATTTTTGGTGTTCTCAACCGAATTTCAGGATCTAGAACTCAGGAACTGTTGGATGTATCTGCTGTCGGGAATGTAAATGTTTGGAACTACATCCATGAAGTGAGTCACTTATTACTGGCTTTAGCAGAATTCAACCAAGTACAGCACTTTCACTTCTTGTGACACTTGTGGTTCGTATCAGGTGTCCAGGATTTACTTTTACTTCCATTTGTGTCTGTCAAAAGGGGTTGGTTTTTTATGATTAGGCAAAAGCCAAACCTTCATTTTCATCTTCATTCACATAGACCCATTAATCACAAGTTCATCTATCTTAGCCTGCTTCCTTTTGTTTGAGAATATTCTTGTTAAACCATCCCAGTCAAATTCAATTTCAGTGTTTTAACCTAGGTAGAGCGGAATTAAGTTAAATCGGTTAAGTTTCTTCAAAATCCTTTTTATACCCGTTTTGATAATGGTTATATTTCCCATTTGGCATATTTGCCAATCAGGGGGTTAAGTGTTCATCACTTAGAAAAAACTAATTGAACTGAAAACTGCGCTACTTTGCCCTTGTACCTCATCACCCTCTTCGTCGTTATCAGAATTCCCCCCCCCCCCCTACTTTTAATGTCCGGTTAGGTTCTGCTGTGACTCATTCAAATATCGTGTGATTTCACGGTCTTCTGCATAGTGTACATCAGTCAGCAAGCCAGCCGTTCGAGCTTACAGATGGTGATGCATCTTTTCAGATCGGTACTAAAGCCACCAAGAGCTTTCGTGCATAACTCAAGGCCATTGGTTCTTGGATTAATTTCCGAGTTGTGTAAACTTTTTAAACGAAACCTGATTTTCATGCTCTCAGCAATTAACTATATTTCAAATAGTTCAGGCGTTTTGGCTCCCCCCCCCCACGCACGTATCTTGAATTTTTAATTTTAGTTCACGGTGGTTAATTTAACCAAACAAGCCATTTGATGGTGTAAATAAGGCTGTATTTGGTTAAGGAATCACAAATTTCACAGTAAGATATTGATGGTTCTGTGGCTTCACGAGAATGTTTGGTCTTTCCTTGCTTTTGCGGTGCACTCTGGTATTTCCTTTTACTGTCTGACTTTCGTTGATGATCAAGTCTGTCGCCACGAATAGAGTAAAATGAGCACTTTAGGGTTTTTTTTTAATCTTAATCTTATTAGGCGGTGGTGCAAGTTAATTGTGCTGTTGCCTCGTTTTCCTCTACATCAAGTCAACTCCTGATTACCCTACGACTCTGAGCAAATAATAAGCCAAATTTCCCACTAATGCCTAAGACCAAGATAAGAGAAACTTCCTACTCCTCAATGGTCAATTGAATTTATCCCAAAATTGTATGTATACATATATATTTCGATCTGATTACTTATTACATTTGAGGTTTGATATGCTCCTCCCTTTCCTACCAGGCCTATCATCTCGTCGCTCAGGATTGGATAATGCAGGCGTTGAATTGCATTGCAACACGTTTCCTTGGTGACGACTTCAACTCGGAAGAAATGACTTCCTACGGTAGTATGTCGCAAAAAATTCCTACTTCTTTCACGAACATCATGCTTCTTTTTTCTACTCTTCTCGAGCGCCAAAGGAGTCTTGTCAGCTCGCTGAATGCGTCTCCAACTCTCTGGGTAAGAGTAGTAGCTCTCTACGTATTTGGCACTTAAGTAAATATCACCCTGTTCAAGCCCTCTAATCTATTGCCATTTAATCAGTAACCCCGGTTGATTTATTTATACGAGAGAGCGAGCGAAGTGCGTTGAAAGCGCGCGTAGGCCTTACGTCTCACCTTAGTCACGCCATCAGTTTACAGTGGCAATATTCTCGTACGATTTGCGTGCGTACGACCTTGAGGGGAGGGGGGGGGAGAAAGCTAGGCTTGGATCTAGCCGTCTGGGTTTATTAATGGCCACTTTTTAGACTGCTTCAACTCCGGTTTGACTATCTGTGTCTTATGTGAAGCAAAGTTTACTCAGAGCTTTAAGCCTGAAGTGGTATTCACGTAAGAAAAAACGAGAACCGTCGAAAAAGGGTCACAAGAATTGGAGTCTTGGAATATTGTTGAAGTTGAGCTTTGGTACTAGTCTTGTCAAGTGGGAGAAAGTCTTTTTGTTGCTCATTTTAATCAGCGCATTTGCTAAAACTCGTCAGATTAATTTTAGATTTGTTGTTCTTCCAAATCAACGTCGTTATATGCGGTTTCAATGGTTGCCAACGGCTATAGATACTAGGGTATTTGAAGCGAATAATTCTAACTTCAAGCCAAGAGCAAATTTGTTTTCATCTTCGTTTGTTTAGGTAGGTAGGTAGGTTTGTAAGTAGCTTGATTACCATATTCGATATCGTTCTTCAATGTAGCGGAGAACTTGAAAACTTTATTTTAAAGAATTTCTGTCATTCCTTCGAGCATGTAAGCAACTAGGAGTATAAATTTTGAAAAGTTAGTGCGGTTTCAATTTCCGTTATTGCTGTTTTTTATATGGGTGGACTTACAGCTGGGTCTTACTGTACCTGTACAAATGTGAAAATAAATCCCAACTTCACATTTATGAGTATTGGTTTACTCACTTCCCCTATTTGAGTCCTGTATTATCTATTATAATTAATATTAATTATTGTAAGTGAGCTTGATCTTTTTTCTGCACCAAGTTCAACAATAAGGTGCAAGCAGAGAATCAAATAACTTATTTCCAGGTAAATGTCTAACTTTCGCTGGGAGTTGCCATTGGTCATCACAATATTGTCATTTGGTTCAGTACTCTACACGTCAATTAAAGAGAATCGATGACGAACTGTGGTAAAGTTATTCGTGACCCGAAATAGGCCTTGAGGTCACACCGAAATCTCAATTAGAGTATAACGACGTTGTGCTGATCAGACATTTGATCGTCGAATGATCGGTGTGGACATCTATTTATGCCATTTGCTTGTTGTTTTAGCTAACTCACGTCGAAACCATCTATCGGCGTCTAAATTGCGCTAATCCGGTTTCTACTACCATGAGCGACGATTTAAAGTTGCGCATGAGGTTGACTAATCGCCAATTGCGGAATAAATTTATTGGACAATGATCACTCGAGGATATTATTATAACACCATATTATTATATGGTGTTATGGATATTATTATTATAACATACAATTTCTACACACACCGATTGCTGTTTTCTTTTTATTAATATCACGAATCAATTTTCCCCACAACTATGGCAAATATGACCAGGTTGTGCACTTTAATGAACTCGCATGGTGCTATATTTCACCCATTTTTACTCCTTGTCTCTTGTGTCGTAAATGTAAGTGGAGTTCATTAAATTTCAAAAGATTTTGTCTCTTATATACTACTGATATGAATGGAATTCGGGCTTGCTAATAGGTGTTATTATCAAATTCTCAACTTCCAAACCTACTTATGAAAAATTTTCCAGCACTTATCTTAGGTAGAAGGGCAACTATCCTACCCAGAAACTGGAATATTACTAGTACCTTTATTTGACAGACTTAACTGGTGTGATTGCCCATTGCTCTCATTGATGGTAATCGAAACCGTTACTTCTGATATCATGGCTAGACTCATTAGTCATCGCACAAAGGATTTGTTTTCATTTGTCTTCGTCAGGTGCAGCTGTTATTGTCTAACTGGCGATGTCTCTTTGTAATGGTTGACTATTAAGAAATAGTAATGGAGGGAGGAGGGGGGGGGGCAATACGTTGTTTTCCAATCTACAGCAACATTGACGCTCGCCACTCCTATCACCTCGGATTAATGCAGGTAGAGCTGAAACCGCTTAGTTGGAAGAATTGGAGTTTGGAGAAGAAGTCAGTGAGGAGACATGAAGCAGCAGAAAAGGATGGCTATGAAAATCGGGGAAACCAAATGTTTAAAGTGATTATTCATTTGCCAGGCATTAAGTATGTAACGATTCATGCGTGACGATATTAATCATAGTTATGTAATCCACCAAGCATATTGTTACTCAAGAATTGGAAATTGGCTAAGGTGGTAATATGCCAGCATACATGGGTGTACGTTGGAAGAGTGAGTACTTATGACCTGAGATACACTCAAATGCAATTTCATGCTTCTTCGGACGGTATTAGCCATTATGATGTATGGCTGTTTTCTTACGCTCATGCGGCCTTTAATAAGCCTTATTCGCTCTCTTATAGATCTCAGTTCCCGTTCACACTGTCATGCCTTATCTATAAGGTACGCTAGAAATGAGTACTTATAGAGATCACGCTTCCTATAGCTTCTTATAAATGCTGCCAATTGATGCGGAGGATGGTGGGGGGGGGGGGGGGGGGGGGGGGGGGGGNGGGGGTGGAAGGGGGCATATGGAAATGAATGTAAATACAAAGATGGAAGCGACTCCACCACTCAACACATTGAGATCTGCAAATTCGAATGAAAGCTTTCTTCTGCTACCGGAATACAAATTGGTTTGTGCAAACAAATATAAGCACTCTCCCTCTCTCCATAGGAACGTTATCTGTGCCCCCACATAGCCACTATTTTGGCTGAGCTTTAACAATGGAGTACTTTCAAATGCCAGAGTCATGCCGGTTTTTTAAGCGGTGTGATCTGTAACTTAGAGTATGAAATGGGTTGCTTCAAGGCCAAGGTAGGCTAATTTCATTATCTGTTGACGGATACAAATTCCTTATCTAAACTGTCCAAAGCAAACTCAGGCACTTGAGTAACGGCATGATTGCCTAACTCGTGATAATTTAGTCCTTTAATAAGGATGACATTGGATACAGTTGTGGACAGTTGCTTACATTTTTATCACGTTTTCACAGTGGCTTTGGTGATCTGCTGTTCGATGAATAATCATTAATTGTACAAGGAATACTTAGCCTAATTTGGCTTCCCTTCTTTGTCAGCTTTGGTTCAGAATTAGAGTTGCTTCACTTATCTCAGTCTTGAGGACTTCATTACCTCAAGATGGGAGGAAGACAGAGATAGCACTAAACATTTATTTCAAATAGCAGGCATTTTGATAGTTATCATTAG